GTGTGTGTGTGTGTTAATGGCTAGCTGGATCTTAACACACCACTAGTTTCCTGTTTCTGGGCCGTTTGCACTTTAATGTGATGAGCGAGTGACGGAGCTGCGTCTCGAGGTCAAAGTCCACGTCTGAGTTTATGGAGGATTTTACACAACACTGCTCTCATGTGAAGAAGCTGCTGACTCATGTTCTGATCCAGATACTTCTACACTTTTAGCTCATTAGAGTTAAAGCGAGACAGAAAAACCTTTGAGTGACTCTGGAGCTGAGACTCTACGACGCTCACATCTCAAATATTCTCTCGTGAGGAAACTTGATTTAAAACTGAGTCTGGATTCTTCAGTCTGAAGACAAAACAACATTTAGAATCAGTTTTATTTCAGTTTTATTTCAGTTTTATTCCCTGGATCAGAAAAGTAACTGGATGAAATTTGGAAATAAAAGAAATCAAAATCTTCATCACTTCACAAATGTTGACGTTCTGCACCAGATGTTTTCATTCTTTCATTCTTGTGAACACGATAACTGAAGAACGCCTCGAGGGAATCTCTTCTAGTTTGGTGGAAACGTTCATTTGGACTCAAAGATGAACTCATTAGGTTTTGGTGGTCAAAGGTTAAAGGTCAAGGTGACTGTGTTTTAAAATCACATTTTTGACTGACTGTTTCTGGAACAGCTCCAGAGACTCTCTTCAAATGTGGCTCGAGCTTTCACTCAGACTCAGACTCAGAGGTCACTGACCTCACACAACATCTCTGGACCTGCTGACGGAAATTCTTCTGATTTGGTTCAAGTGTTGAAGACAACGGAGCGGAGGACGTTCAAGCTCAGGACGGAAACTCAAGTCTTCTGCATTAAAGTTTATCGGAAGTTTTATCTTTCATAACGATTTTCTAAGTTTGTGATTATTTTTGTCTTAATTACTTTACTGAAGTAAACGAGAATAAAGAAACAAACTCAAACAGAAGCATTTGTAATAACAATTGTTTTTTTGAGAATTTACAAATTGTTGTGAGAAATGTAAACGTTTATATATTTATTAGAACAAATAGAAAATGTTTGTTTTACAGAAGAACACGTTCGGCTGGAGTTTGATACAAACTTTGCTGTCAACATTAAAACGTTCCATCCCGAGCACGCTGCAGATTTCTGTGTCTGAGAATCTCATGTTGTTCATGAAACTCCAGACCCCATTCTGATCTGAGGTCAGATCTGAAAACAGCTTATGTTGAAATGTGCTGCAGTTTACTGGAAGCTGATCGGCTGGAGTTTGTTCTTCAGATGCTGCTGGAATGATTTGACCAAAGAGCTGCAGCTTTAATGTGCAGACAGAGAGGAGGTGCTTCAGCTTCAAACCAAACTTCTCCAACTTAATGGACCTTGTGTCTGAACAGACACGATCTGTTTCCATGTGGAACAGAAACATTGTCCTCATCAGAGACTAAACTCTCCTGAACCCTGTCACTAACAGCACTCACACTGGAGTCAGGTCAACACAGATATTTTATTCTACAAACATTGACTTGAAGGTCGCATTGGCAGTTTTTTTTTTACATTCAGTTACTCAAGCTTGTACATTTTACACATCAGCCACAACGAACGTCAATAAACTCCACAGAAAGATGTTTGAAGCAGCAGCTGGATCCTCCTGCAGGAGGAGGAGAGGACCGTGGCTCCTCCGCTCCTAAATAACGACATCAAGCAGCAGACAAATCCTTCACATCCCCAGACTCAGCTCCGCTCAGCTCCTCGCTGCAGAGCGCGGTCAGACGCAGGTGAAGCACAAAAGCAGCTGCTGGATGGTTTTACGCAACGCGCCTTTACGCGCAATTTACGCACAGTGGTTGATTGTTTCACACTTTTAAATTGTGATAAAAATACATTAAAATCCGTTGGATGAAAATCTAAAAACACTTATTACATCTGGGATGATTTCTCCGGTGCTTTACAGATTTTTTTTTTCTCCAGAAACGACGAACCCAGACATGATCTTGAGTTTGGAAACAGATCTCCAGTGAAGACCTGGAGTCCCTGATCCTCGTTAGTGGCTCATAAAGTGAAACATCGACAGTTTGTCTTTTCTCTGAAACTCTCTTCACCGCTGCAGCGCGTCCGTGTCGCACTGGTCCGTTAAAACCGACAGTCTGCAGTTCTCCGTCTCCACGTTGTTCAGCGGGATGACCACCTGCGTGTCGTCCGGCTCCGCTCTCACGGTCCCGGAGAACGGTCGCATGTGACAGGTGTTCGTCCCGGTGGGCGACGAAATCCTCCAGAACAGATCCTTCATCTTCTTCCTGAACTCCCGGCGCATCAGGCAGTACAGCACCGGGTTCAGGCAGCTGTTCGTGTGCGCCAGGCACACGGTCACCGGGTGCACGTACGTGTGCACCATGTAGTACGTCTTATCCCAGTTGACCAGGTTGAATTTGACCAGGACGCCCCAGAGGGTGATGGCGTGGTTGGGCATCCAGCAGACGAAGAAGGAGAGGACGACGATGGTGACGGAGCGGGTGACCCGGGACCTGCGCTTCACCTGGTTGTTGTTCATGCTGCGCAGGCGGACGAAGCGCAGCAGCAGCAGGTAACACACGGTGACGATGAGCATGGGGAACACGAAGGCCACCAGGATCTTCTGGAGGTGGTACAGCGCCAGCCACGACTGTCCGTCCGGGAAGCCCAGGAGGCACAGCCGCTCTCCGGCCACGCTCTTCACCGTGGAGAAGATCGCTGTGGGCAAAGAGGCCACGGTGGCGGAGACCCAGAGCCCCGCGATCACCCAGCGCACAGGGCACACCCGCCGACGGGTCCGGTCCTTCAGCGCAGAGGCCACCGACCAGTAGCGGGTGACGCTCATGGCGGTGAGGAAGAACACGCTGGCGTACATGTTCATCACGGTCACGGACAGGATGATCTTGCACATGGCGTTTCCAAAGGGCCAGCTGAAGTCCAGGGCCGTGTCCACAGCCCAGAAGGGCAGAGTGAGCACGAACTGGAAGTCCGTGACCGCCAGGTTGAGGATGAACAGGTTGATGCTGGAGCGCTTCTTCCTGCCGCGGCGCACCTTCATCAGGAACAGCACCAGCAGGTTCCCCACCAGCCCGGCGGCGCACACCACCGAGTACACGATGGAGATGAGGATGCGCAGGGTCGGGGACCCGTCCGCCGGCACGTCGATGTCATCCAGGCTGCTGAAGCGGTCCTGTCCCGCGGCGGAGCGGTTCCAGGAGGACGTGGAGTTGTGGTTCAACAGCTCCGCCATCGTCTCCGGTAAACGACTCGAGTCCCGCAGGGCGCATCACCTGCTGCGCTCCCGGAGAGAAGAGGCTTCCGGCGCGGGCAGGTGCGCTCAGTGCCCGCGGCTCATGCCCCCCCACTCTCTGCTGTCACCGGGAACGAGGATCGAACCGGAGCTGCGCGCTGCTGCTGGGTCACTGCTGAGCCCGGCGCGCGCATGGCTCTTTATACCCTGCTGGTGCTCGAGGAGGCGCGTGCCCGACAGAAGCCTGGCGTGTTGTTTCAAGAGGAAGAAGCAGGGCCACACCTAGAGACTCAGGGGCCCCACAAAGTTCAGCCCCCCCAGCCCCTCCACACACACACAAAGACACACACACAAAGACACACACACACACACACACACACACACACACACAAACACACACACACACAAACACACACACATCATCAATATTTTCTTGTTTTCACAAAAGTTTACTTCAGAAACGTTGTAACTTTTTTAAAATCCACATCTTTTGATTGTTTTGAGGAATAAATGATCAAATTGTTGTGCGTAAGTGTATTTGTGTGTGTGTGTGTGTGTGTGTGTGTGTGTGCTTTTCAGAGGAAGAGAGTGGAGTCGGGGGTTTGAATAAAAGACTGAATGCTCAGCTCAGAATAAACATTTGACTCAGTGAAGAAAAGTGTCAATCATATCGTGACGTTGTGTTGATATCGTGACGTTGTGTTGATATTCAGACAGATCAGTGACTGTCAGACGCTGAGTCAGTGTTGGTGTGTGTGTGTTGGTGTGTGTTTGTGTGTGTTGGTGTGTGTTTGTGAGAAGAGCGAACATTCAGTGAAGGAATGGATATGATTTAATTTGAAATGTAATAACTTCCTGTTCCTGGTTGATGGTTGAAGGTCAAAGTGTCATCAGTCACCGTGGTGACGTGATGACGTGTGGTTCTTAAAGGTTCCGTGTGTAGAATGTAGTGACATCTAGTGGTTTCTCTGTAAACTTCACATCCAGAAAAGTAAAATCCTTCATCTGCTTCAAACAGTTAAAAACCAGCAGGATCTAAAAACAGCATCGTAAAATGAGACACTTCCTCATTCTTATCTTTGTACTGAAGATTTAATACGTTTGACCTGCTTCTCCCTGAACCATTGAAGTCCGTCTTTATCTTATCTCCCATCACAGACGCTGCTTCAGTCTGAGCCTCATTTAAAACCAGAGTTCACAGTCTCCACTGATCCACCGTTAAAGGGTCAATTTGAAATTCTCACTCTGTCTCTTCACCTCCTGTGTGACGAGGCCGATTAAAGATGGTGGCTCACAGCTTCTCTTTGTACGCTCTCGTAGAATCCTGTCTTCTTAAGTCTCTGTGCAGTTTGTGGGTTCTTCTATCTACCAGAGACCAGATGAGGTGTGGGATTATTTTCTGTATCAAACAGAGATTTTAATGTTTTACCACAGTTTTTACAGTTTTTACAGTTTTAAATTCAGCGACTCGCCTCAGACCAACGTCGTCAGTGTTTGTCGGAGCAAACCACAGATTTCTTTAAAACATGACACAAACACTACGAACTCACGTTAGAACTAAGAAAACTAAACCACTCAGTGTTCAGAAGTTTCCTCCAGTTAAAACCTTCGGTCTAGAACGTGATCAGGTCGACATTAATCTGTGACGTGGCTCCGGATGAAGATTCCTGGTGTAAAGTCTCTGAACGATGATCACTCTGGTTTCTTATCCTGTAAATATTGGAACACGCGTGTGACGTGTTCACCTGTTCGATGACGTGCACTCTTCTTCACATTTCCAGTTGTTTGCTGAATTCAGTCACATGTCGTCGCTCTTAAATCATTTAAACATGGATTTCAGAACATTCTGCTGAAACAACCCGACCTCAGAGGATCTGGATTAAGGGGTCTGGTTCTTCTCATCTGTCAGGATCCGGCTCGTTACCCAGATTCCCCGGCTGCTCTGCGGCACTGTGGAAACTAACGGACTCATGTTTACTGCTCCCATAACAAGTCATGAAGTTTATTTGTGGGTTGTTGTTGTCGTGAGGCCGTTTATCCTCGAATCCCAAAACAAGGCTTCGTTAAGTCTTCCACCGTTTCTCTAATGATTCGAACGTCTTCAGTAAAGTTACGTCCGTCGTGTGATGGTTGAACTTTGACCTGGACAGTGAAGTCCTCAAACATCTCAAGTCAAAGTTAAAGTATCAGCATTTGTACAGCACCAGATCATAATTTACATATTCTCAATAGTTTACATAGAAATACACTGAAATATACTTACAAGTAAGCGAAGAGGCGGAGTCTAATGTTTTCTGTCCACTGTGATTGGATCAGTTCTCTTGTTATTGATCACTTTTAAAAATAAACAAACAATGTCATGTAACACACACACACACACACACACACACTGACAGTGATTCACAGATTTCCCAGCTCGAGTCAGAGCTGCTCTCCATCAGCTGAGTGATGATGCTGCCACAGGAAACAAACAGTTAAACAATAGAGACAAGTGAGGAGCTCAGCAGGAGAAACGACTCCTCAGCTGCTCCTGCAGGTGTCAGAGGAGGCAGCTCCTCACACACCAGATCATTTCTCCTGCTGCGGTTTAATGTCAAGTGGTTTTATTCAAATGATCGAGGACGAACTTTCAGACAAGAGCAGATGTTTTATTATCTGAATGAACCTGTAATGTTTTAATGTCGCTGCAGCCTCAGGTGAAAATACTTTATTCTTCTCGACTCTTTTAAATGTGCATCTTTAAAAACCTCCTCTTTCTCCCAAGTGTCAAATATAAAAACACATGATTCAGTTCTGTTGTTTCGTGTGATTGAGAACTTGTTGTTTGTGCATCGACTGTTTTCACTGGATGTTTTGTTCATCTGAGCAAATCTGCGTTTTTCTCAGTGACACAGAAAACAAACTCATTTTTTATTATTTTTAATTCGTCGAGCTGTGATTGGTCCGCTTGGTAGCGTTGTATCTCTGCATCATTTTTGAATAAGAAGGAACGAACACAGACACCTACGCACAACAGTGATACTTGGCCCCGTGTGGAGTCTGTGTACGGAGGCTACGTATGAAACCTACGACGTAGCTTTGACGCAGAAGCATCAATTGGACTTTAGATTCTGTCCAAATCGTCGAGTGTGTGTTCTGAAGATTACAAGATTAAAAAACTGTTCTGTCGGTTTGTCTGTGGTCAAGAGTTGAAAATCCTCTCGTGTGCAGGAGCCTCACTGAGCTCAGACATAAAAGAGAATCAGCTGCTCGTTCCTCCGTCAGTCGCCCGGAGCAGCTTCACCAGGACCTGCATCGTGTGTGTGCAGCTGCTGTTCAGAGGATCTTTGATTCGCCTCCTGAGGATCTGGAAAGGTGAGGGAGCGTGTGGGGAGCTGTCGGGAACACAACACAACTGGAAACAAGAACAAACACACAAAGTGAATCAGCTGCAGGACGAGCTGCTGAGGGATGGATGGAGGAGGTCGTCCACCTGAAGGTCGTGAAGAAGAAGTCATCACCACGAGGACACAGTTTAATATTACATGACAAGAAGAGAGGTTGAAACTTTACACGAGAAAAAGATATTCCAAGAATAAAGTGTATTTCTAAGAATAATGTCAAAATAACAATTGTAAATGTAATATGTGAAAAATGTTATAACTGTATTTAATTAAAGTCTCAATATGACAGAGCTGTAACTTCACACAAAGATGGAAGAAAAAAGAAGACAACCATAAAGAAGTCTAAATATTAAGATTGTTGTTACGTAATATTACAAGGTTCAGATCTTACATCGTATTAAATGACTGAACTGTGATTTGAGAAGAATCAAGTGATGACTCTGGTCTGTGAGTCACGTCAGATGTTGAAGCTCCGTTCAACTTGAAGTTTGATAAAAACGTTTTGTCTCATCGGCTCCAGGACTTTGTGTCTGTAGAGGAAATGTTTGGTCGACTGTCACATTCTAAGAACTTTCAGAGTTTCTCCACTGACAGGTTTTACATCCAGAGGGAGAAACACTCCAGAGAGCTCCAGTTCTGCTTCGTGATTATTCACCAAAATATGATTTTCTTTCTGAACGAAGCAGCGAGCAGGAGGGAATCCATGTCCCTGAGCCGCCTGTGACACCGAGGCCGTCCAGCCGAGGATTCATTTCATGTCTGTCGACCGCTCGCTGCCTCTGTCTCCGGCCTGGTGTTTTTCTCTGCGGTCGCTCCAGTGACTTCACAACTTGACAGTACATTTATTTTTTCAGTGTCAGGCTTTGCAGCGATGAATCCTCCACTTGGTCGAAATCAGAATCCTTGACTGAGGTGAAATCTGCCACAGAGAGAAGATCTGAGCTCAGCTGTTAATGAGTCCTGACGTCTGAACCTCTGTCTCTGATGGTGCGTCTACGACAAATGGACATTTTTGTGTTGCGAGGGATTTGAGCTTCAGGATCATTTGTGTTTTCTCCCAACATGAGAACACAACCTGCGGATATTCACCCGGAGGAAGTGACCACAGTCGCTGTGTTGTACCTGACAGGAGTCGGCGTCGTTGTGTGTGAGTCCATACGACCACCAGGAGGCGCACACAGCTGGAGGAATTGCACTGTCCAGGAGTTTTTCCCTCATGTTCAAATACTTTAACTTGAGTGTGATGATGACGGAAACAAATTCCATCGAATCCATCGAACTGCATGTTTCACGTCGCTCGACACAGTTCAGGACTTTGGACCTGAGGAGTCGTGTGTGTGAACAAAAGCTGCTCGTATTCGTGACCTTGTTCTTTTTTCGGTCGGGAGAATAAATTGTTGTCTGCAGCAACACCTGCACCGCTGCTGACGCTGCAATGATCCGTCTCACGCTCCGTCTGCTCCTCACTCCTGAAGGAGACGCTGAGAAACTGTACCTCCTGTTTTCTGGCTCCTGCTCATCGAGCCGGGCCTGAGTGAGAGAAGCTGCCATCGGACTCAGCAGGTCCTGATCTGACAGCTGAACACTTCTTACTGAAGTTGTCTCTTTTCTTCCTCTGTGAACAGTGAAACGTAACTTTAGCTCTGATGTTTTTCTTCCAGTTCCTCTGGAGGAACCTGACCTCAGTGTGTGTGTGTGTGTGTGTGTGTGTGTGTGTGTTGTTCTCCAGGTCGATGAAGCATCTTCTGTTTCCGCTGCTGAATTTAAAC